TAGTAGGGCTGGTGGTGATGAGGGAAGGCTGAGCGTGAAGCTGGCAACTTCACCCACTTCAAAACTGAAACATTACAGTCAGTGCAAAAATTAAGAGCTCAAGCTTGAAGCTTTATGTTCCACTTGGGATGCATAGAAATAAAACAAATCCTGTAAAACTTAAGCTACGATCGATTTTTTGTAGAAGATTGAGGATATATTTAAGAAAGCCTTGTTTATCTGAACTGTGTAGTATCGCTGTGCAGAGTAGCGGAAGATACTTTTTTAGTTTAGACGGATGGTTTAATTGTGAAGCCTCCATTATCCTTCTAGACATCATCTTCAAAGCTAGCTTAAATTGAGAAGGCGACAACTCCAAAGACATATCGTAAAGTGTTATCACTTGTGATAGGGATTTATGAAAAAAAACATTATAGGCGGCTAACTGCTGAAAACATAAGATCGCATCGAATTAGAACGTTGGGTTCAGGGTGATCAAGAATGCTCTGACCCCGGGTAGAGGCTCACCATTGCACCTCGGTGGGTTGAAACTCGCGACGGACCCTAATCGAGTGCGCTACGGAGTGTATTTTTGTCAGTGGGGAGGCCTCACGGTCCTCCCTTTGTAGTGCATTGGTGGCACACCGGTCAGCACTCTCGCCGACCATGCACATGGTCCGAGGTTCGATCCCACACCGACTCACACCCGGCCTGCTAAGTCTGGGCTACCGATATCACATGCTGAAAATTTCATACTTGTACCAAAAATACTGTGTGGAGTCAAGCAATAATGAAATAAAAATAAAAATAAGTAGAACCAATGCAAAATCGTAAAAAACTGACTCAGAATCAAATAGAATATAACCAGATAAGCTGGGATCAAAACTGTCCGCGAGAATCACACACTGAACAATTCTCATAGACAGTCCAACGTCAGAATGACCTTCACTTCACCTCAAGCAAAATCAACCAGCGTAAAACAACACACTACCAATGTCATCATCACAGAACCATAAAGAAAAGCATCAAAATTAGATATCTAACAGACGTCAGTACCATGACGTACAGTAAGGGACAAAAATGGATAATAATTACGGAATTAGTTGAAACGTCCAAACAGGCATCAATATTGTGATTAGATTATTCAGGAGGGTATTTCCAAAAAAGTTGTTCCGTTACAAATGGGTTCAAGTTCTAACAAAACGAAAGTAAAGAAAAGAGTAATAAATATTTGGATACAACCGGTTCAGGTAACCGATTTATTGACAGTAACACGAAAGATAAGCAGTCTAAACTGGTCACCGACTCAGTTCCAAAGAAAATCTTATTCATGAACTTGGAATTCAAAGGTGATCAAGCTTCAGATATGCTTAAAAATCGTCTCTCTAAAGCAGTCAGTAAGACGTTCTTTGCAGCAAAATTACAAATGACGTTCACCAGCCGCAAGTTGTTCTCCATCTCTGTAAAAGATAAGCTCCTCCGTCTGGCCACCTCCATGTGCATCTATCAGTTCATCTGCTCCTCTTATGAAACAAGGTACATTGGCCGTAGCCAGAGGACACCGCTTTCCACACGGATACGAGAATATATTCCAGCTACATGATTTTACAAGGGAGAAAGGAAGTCTGTGCGAAGCTCTATTCTAGAACACCTGATTGGCTTCTGTCACTCCAACAACCCTGACAATGATTTTATGATCATATACGGAATCCATGCTAACTTGCTGGCCCCGTTTTCTTCGTTACAGACTTCTAAAGACAGTGGACGCCTTGGCAATTCATGATTTTAAATTAGACCTTTGTGTACAAAAGAAGTATGTACAATCCCTACTTCTGCCTTGGCCGTAGAGGGATAGACATTTATTTATTTATTTTGTTTATTTAGTTATTCTATGTACCTTTCCCTTATTACTACGTTTATTATTATTATTACTATTCTCACTCTGAATTGTTTCCACTTGTCCCACTTGTCATTCTAAACCCAAAATTATTAATTTTTTATTTTTACAATATTGAATTCTATCTTATCAAATTCCACACCATGTTATGTAACATTTTATATTCGCCTACTAATCCTATAATTATGTACCCCTTTCCAACATCTATACGCCTTATGTATTATTCTGTATATGACATTGATTGTTTTGCTACTTGACATTTAACTATGATTATAATCACAAATATTTTAATTGCATTTCATACTACTATATTATTATTTCATGTATTCACACCTTCGACCTAATTCCCTCACCGGATATAATTTCTTAAGGAAAACCACATAAAAATATACGATTGTACAGCTTGATAATAAATTCGACGTTGAAAAGAGTCTCTTCGCTGAATGTTGTGTTCTTAATGCTAAAATGGGAATTATTAAATTATTAATGACTTATTGCCTGTACACCTTTAAAAGTGGTTTAAGAAGACTGAAATGTGAAACACTTGCATAAAACTTTAGAATACACGCTCACAATAAATAACTTTTAATGATGATTATACATTATTTAATGAGCTTCTAGATAGACAGAGAAAGGTATATTGTTGTAGTCAATATATGTGTAAAACTCGGGCACGCAGTCGAAGAAACAGTATTATTATTAACTGGATGACAAAGTTTCGAACACAATTTATTGCTGTTCATAATCACTTCATCAATCATAATCACACACGACTTCGAAACTTTCGTTTTGTAATTTTCTTTGTTCTCTCCTATTTGTCGTGGTTGAAGTAGTAGAATTTTCCAGATATCTGGGGCAGGTGTTGAATCATTCCTATTACGCGTGTTAATTTGAAGTTGATTCGATAAACAAAGCTACTGTTATCAATCTTTCCCTCCACCCTGTGGTATTAGATTTTAAAACTGTCATCTTATCCAATACAGCCTATTCGTATGGTTGTGTGGAATTGCATGTGGTGTAGTGCTACATCTGAACTATTCTCTAGATTGCTTATCATATTCGGGACAACCAATCTAGATTTTTGTAGTTTTTTGTGCTCGGCTAGTCTGACTGCCCCTGTTCTACTAGTTTGACCTGACAATCATTGCAGACAGGGTATTAGATAAACTAAATTGTTTTCTTTTAAATGCTCTCTCTACAGGATCCACCATTTAACCGACAAAGCTTGTTTCTAATTGAGTTTATGGGTGGCCTGAATTGCAGCCAATTTTATTCTTGCATTGTTAAAAATTCTGCATGAGGTTGTTGAGGTTCCTTTCTTGCATGGAATTACTACTGATGATTTAGATTCCTTATTGTTGGTGTTGTCATTATGTTGCGCGTGTTTGACATGCATGTCGTCATTAATATTACTATTGGTATTATTATCATTATTATTATTATTATTATCACCATCACTACTATCATTACTTATTTTATTTTTTCATTGCCCTACATACTTTCTGACTAATTTATCAGGGTAATTATTATGTTTGAGAGTTCCTCTTAAAATCTAATGTCACAGATAGCAGGGAGAGATTGATAACTAAAGGTTTATTTATCGAATCAAATGAAGAAAATACGTGCAAGAGAAATGATCCTCCAACTCTCCTAGACATCTGGAACATTCGATCACCCCAAGGACGACAAATAGGAGAGAACAAAGAAAACTATAAAACTCAGGTTTCGAAGTTGTGTGATTATAATTGATGAAATGATTATGAACAGTGAATAAATTTTGTTCAAAACTTTGTCATCCAGTAAATAATACTGTCTTTTCACTGTGTGATATATCTAATAAACAAACTAATATGGAATTACTTACTACCAAAGTGCCCAAGTCTTACACATATATTAATATGAAAACAAGGATGCCCATTATCCCCATTCCTATTCAACTTCATCATAGACGTACTAATGGACTTAACCCTAACACACTCCAGCGACTCAGGGATTGACTTGTACCAGGGAATAATCTGGTCGACTTAGAATATGCAGACGATATAGTCCTCCAAGGCGAGGACGCTGACAAAATGCAGAGTCTACTGAACACCTTGAGCAACAATCTTCGTATGTTTGGCAGGCGATTCGCCCCTGTAAAATGTAAGATGATGCTGCAGGATTGGACTACACCGACCCCTAGATTAGAAATAGGAAGTGAAGTAGTAGAGCACGTTGACTTGGGAAGTACCACCAGCCCCAATGGATTGATCTCCGACAAAATCTCAGCACGAATACAGAGGGCTAGTTTCGCATATGACAGTTTACGCCGTCTCTGGCGTTGACGAGATATCCGACTATCAACCAAAAGGCGTGTGTACTGCTCATCAGTCCGCTCTGTCCTCTTTTATGGCCGTGAGAACTGACCATTGAGAGCGGAAGACATGAAAAGATTAGCTGTCTTCGATCATAGGTGTCTGCGTTCTCTCTCCCGCGTGAAGTGGTATGATAAGGTGAGCAATATTGAGGTTAGGTGTCGAGTTCTAGGTAAGGAGGGGAAATCAATCGACGAGACTGTGAAATTACATCGACTGAGATGGTTAGGACATGTGTTACGTATGCCTAGTCATCGCCTTCCTCGACCGACAGGCAATGTTAGCTGATATAGGGTCAGGCTGGAAAAGAGCTAGCAGCGGTCAAACCAAAACATGGCCCCGTCAGTCAATGAAATCTACAACAGTAAGTCTAAGCCAGGTAGGAAGGTGTAGACTTCCTGATTGACTGGTCGGGGTCCTCAGGACGTTAAAAACCAATGGTTGGAAACAACTGGTGACATGGCTCAAACTCATCGTTCTCAATGGCTAGTGCAGATGCATCCACTCCTTGTGACTTATGATTTCCAATTAAACTGTTTTGTTCTTCGTTATTACTATTCCTTTGTCTCACACCTCTGTTTACTGTCTATATTATGCATTTATCCTACTATCTTCTCTTCCTTTGTGTGCTACATGGAGGGAGTGTGGCAACTTGAACTGCCGCACATATGTGCAAATTCTATGTCGAAAACCGACCGACCGTGTCGTGCAAATTTACTGTTTCTCATTCATTTCAACAATAAATGCAAAGATAATACGTTTAAACTTACCTTAATTCTGCCCTCTTCTGAGTATGAACAACACTCACTGTTTGGATTTATTGCTATAGAAGTAGGATGTTCCATTTCATAATTCGATTTAGTAATGTCACTGTCACTCTCCGTCTTTATACTACTGCTGAATGATTCATCAACTGTTAACAGATCACCAGATGAATGTGTATCCCATACTAACTGTTTCAAATCAAAATAGAATGAAGATCGTAGAAATCTTTGATAGGAGTCTTTATTCATTAAACCTTGAATTGTTTGTTGAGCTATTACAAATGATTCATTCGTTGGATTCGATAAGCCGGAAATTGTTCGATTACGTGTTTCAGAATCTAAATTCACCTTGAATGAAAGAAAACAACAAACAAACAAAATTAAAGTCATATGAAAAAGAGAAGACATTCAGCGAAGAGACTCTTTTCGGCGAATTCATTCACATAGCTGTACAATCGCATTTATATATAATTATTTGTGTGTGTGTGTGTGTACATGAGGTTTGTCAAGTTTAGATAATTGATTAGTTAATACAAGAATGATGTAGTATAGAGACAAAGTTAATCAGACAGCAACTAAAGTAAGATTGAGTTAGTAAGGTAGATGACGTAATATAATTGGCTAAAATGTTACAACTTAGGTCAGGATAGCAACAGAGGTAATTGCAGGTAGAGATTAAGTAGAAGTGAAATTGAGTAAATAAGTCGGATGACGTAACATAAATGACTAGAAACTGAGCGATGTTCAGGTCAGTAACAGTGGTAATGAGGTGTAGAAATTGAATCGGGTGGGGGTAGAGAACAAGAAGGTTGAAAATGTAATATATTACAATTGAGAAGGCAAAATAATACTAATGAAGAGACAGAAGAAAAGATTAGGTAGAATTTACCTGTCGGGTAATAAGATAGATTACGTCCATTGTAAGTGTAGTGATTAAACGAACTTCTTCTGTATGCAGAGTTCAGGACTTAGCAAGTGAATCGCCATTGCTTCTGCAGTTTGAAGAAGTCTGATTCGTACACCTTTAGGAAGACTACTTCTTACTCTGTAGACGACTTTGAAGTTTGTTTGCGGTATTAGCTTGGTGTCCGGATTTTATCAGATGTTCTAAGATAGAACTGCGGGGGCATCGATTTTCTCCTTTGTAAAACCATGTTGGTAAGTGTTTGGTGATACGTTTGGAAAGCGAGCGCTGGGTACGGCCGACATACCTAGCTCCACACGAGCAGGTGAACTGATAAATGCACATTGATGAGGCCAGCCAACATCGGTAGCTTATCCTTCACGTTTACATGAATCATGGGTTTTGTGAAGAAGGTTAGTCTTAGTTCAGCTGCGAAGAAGGTCTTCTTAAGTGAGCGCGACAGTTGATTTTTTAGTGTTTCCGCAGATAAATCTCCGTTGAATTGAAGGTTCATGTATAGTAGTTTTTTCGGGACGCTAAGCATGGGCGGCTTTTCTGGTCTAGGATTCATAGATTTTGCAATGAATCTTTCTGGATAGCAATTCTCGACGAGGATTCTCTTGAGATTGTCCAGTTCATCTTCTATGGTGTCCGGGATGCAAATTCTGCGAACTCTGTAGCTGAGTGAACGGATCAGGTTTCGTTTGGTGTATAGTGGTACCCAACTGTGAAAGTAAGCTGTCCGTTCCACGTTGATTTTCTGTGGATAGACCATTTCAGTGTTCCATCCTGTTCTCTTCTTGTTAGTTGGACGTCAAGAAAGGATATTGTGGAGTTGAACTCTTTCTCCATCGTGAAGTGAATTGCAGGGTGGCAGTTGTTAAACGACTTCAAGATGTCATCTAGGTTTTCTTCGTTGTTGACGATAATGAAGGTGTCGTCGACGTATCTCTTATAGATTTCGAAGGTATTGATCATTTTCTTCAGGCATGTGTTTTCGAGTTTTGCCATGAAGAAATCTGCAAGCAAGGGGCCTAGTGGTGAGCCCATAGCTATACCATCCTTTTGGCGATATATTTCGTTGTTGAAAGAGAATTGAACATTCAGGGTACACCTCAGTAGGAGTTCTTTAAGATGCTCGGTGGGTATACCGATGTTTATTCCTTTGGAGTGAATAAGTTCGCATATATAGCATGTTGTTTCAGTCAGTGGAACGTTTGTGAATAGTAATGTGACATCTAATGAAATCATTGTCTTGTTGGATACGTAGATGTTTTCGATTGAAGTTTCATTTTAAATCAGTTAAGAGAAGTCCAGCCTTCATTCTTGAAAACTTTCAAAACCCTATCGGACAGAATTCTTGCGAATTCTAAGAATTTTACTGGCATGTTTTCAACAGATGTAGCAAGCACTCACTAGTCCACCCACAAGTAAACACCACAATTAGCTGGAAAGGCGAGTCAGTGCTATTCAAATTTTTTGGTCATTTCTGCATAAATGTTTTCAACAGATTGTTTTTTTTCAGTGCAATCCATACTGTAATTGACATATTCTCTTCCAGGAAAATTTCATCAGACATCGAAATGAAGTGGAAGAGTGTAGTTTCGTTGTCATTTTTGAGAATATCTACCTGCTTACAGTCTTGATGAATTCACAACGGATTTATTCTACAGTTTTAAGTTGTTTTTTAAATCATGGAATATACACATTTGATCATAGGGAATAAGAAGACAGTTGCAGGAAAGAAGAAAATTTTCTTTTCGATGAAGTCATCATCTAGGCTGTACATTCGTGTATTTATATCAAATGGATGGGAAAGTTCCAGAATAATTTACGGTTAAGGGTCAAATTAATAAAAATTACAATTAGGAATTAGAATGCCATAATAAACAGGGGGACGGATAAAACTCAAACAAATAGCATTAAATAAAAGATTGACATTGTGCAATTGGGGGTTAGAAATGTAGAAATAACAAAATAGACAGGATGTTTGGATAAAAAACTAATGTGATGAATAATTGTTTATGCAATCAGGGATTAAATATGTAGAAATAGTAAAATAACATGAATAAACAGGAAGTTTAGATAAGAAAGGCGATGGGATGGTCATTACTAAAAAACATTTTTACCTGTTTATGATGGCCATGGCAGGGACAGGGGTTGCACATATTTCTTTTGGATACAAAGCGTGGGTTTGAGCTTTTGGATAGCTAGCGCCTCAGCTATGCCCAAATGTCTTGATTTCACTCCCTTTGATAGGTTTGATTGAATCTTGTATATTACTTTGAAGGATTTTTCGAAAGGCGCTGAATGTCCTGAGTTGACCAGGTGTTCTGTCACTGAACTGTATGCACGTTTTTGGTTTCCTTTTACCAGCCAGGCTGGGTAGTGTTTGCGAGTGAGTTTTCCAAGTCGGCGCATGGTACGGCCGATGTACTCAGCTCCACAAGAGCAAGTAAACTGGTATATGCACGTTGAGGTGGCCCAATGCGACAGCTTGTCTTTCGCGTTTTGGTTGAACAGTTTTTTAAGGTGGGCACTTTAATAGTAAGCCATGCAAGTTAAGATTCATTTGCTAACTCGTTAGCTGACTAGTGTAGCTGGTCTGTCTGGTAATATAACTGTTTCAAATTTGATCATCAGACGTCTTATGGGACCGTGGTTATAACATTTATCAAAAAAATAAGATGGCCTATTCAAACAGGGCCATCTCAAGCAAAGGTAAGCACTTCAAGTGAACACGAAATTATGTAACATTTCAGATAGTTCGCCATCACGGTGCATATTGATTTGATGATATTAGACAGTTGGAGGCAATCGGCAGGAAGCCTTGGACCTAGGTTTCGTGCTAGTTGGCACTCATCAGCAAGGCGTATGTGAAACCATGAAAGAACTCATGTCCCTTTTGAGATTGGAACCCGCGTCACCCAGTGCTACAGTCAGAGACGTTACCACTGAGCTGCCGATTGCCTCCAACTATCTAATATCAACATTTCACTTAGTTAGTTAGTTAGTTAGTTAGTGAGTTAGTTAGTTAGTTAGTGAGTTAGTTAGTTAGTTAGTTAGTTAGTTAGTTAGTTAGTTAGTTAGTGAGTTAGTTAGTTAGTTAGTTAGTTAGTTAGTTAGTTAGTTAGTTAGTTAGTTAGTGAGTGAGTGAGTTAGTTAGTTAGTTAGTTAGTGATCACACTTACCCACAAAAGTTTCGAGAAGGTTACAAACAAAGTCATATATTGATAATAGGGGAAAGAAACAAAAAAATTTTACTTACTTCACGAGGTGAATGAGGAGCTAGATAAAGTTTGTAGATCTTTTGGGATTCTTCGCTTAACAGTGATGCTGGTAAATGCTTATACAATTCACAAATCACCCAAAACTCAATATTTTCTTCACTGTATTCTGATTTTAAAAATTGATGAAATTGCGTTAAACCATCTGTAGAAAAGAAAACGTAAATTATATTTTGATTAAGATGCATACCTTAAAAGTTTAAAGTAAAAAAGAAAAGGATTACGTGAAGCATAAAATACTTCATATTGTACAAAACCCTATTCAACATAGTCCACCGACATGTCAACCAGCGAGCGTGGAAACCATTAAGAATCCTTAGTAAAATATATTCCAGTTAAGAAGTAATTTGGAAACTACTCGAGTACTACGGAGTACCCCAAATATTCATCAACCCTATTCAACAGCTGTACGACAACGGCACATGTCAAGTCATCCACAACGGAAAACTCAGCGAGGCGTTTGGAGTAAACACAGGAGTCAGAAAACGGTGCTTATTATCATCACCAATGATATTCCTAATTGTGGTGGACTGGATTATGAGTCAGACAGTGCATGGAAACGAGAAGACAGGGATATCCTCTTCTGACAAACGTGAAGAACCTAGAAGACCTGGATTTCGTGGATGATTTATGTTTGATTTCACACAAAATCGACAAACTGGTCGAAGAAGCAGCAAAGACAGGATTCCAGGTGAACATAGACAAGACGGAGGTTATGAAAATATCCAACCAACCAACAACAACAACAGCAGGAACATCCAGTGCTAATCACCATCAACGGGAGGGATTTGAAAGAGGTTACTTCATTCACTTATCTAAGGAGCATTGTCTCAACTACACGAGGAACGGACGAGGATGTCAAATCGAGAATCGGGAAGGCGAGAAACACATTCATCAACCTGAAACCAATCTGGAAATCTTCGTCACTCCTCAGCATCAACAACAAAATTCCGATTTTCAATAAAAACGTCAAGTCAGTCAGTTCTTCTATACGGATGGATCAGAAACTTGGCCAGTCAGTCACAAAGAATATTTCCAACAGCCTGTTGATATGATTATGAACAATAAATTTGGTTCGAAACGTCATCCAGTAAATAATACTGTTTCACTGTGTGATATACCTAATAAACAAACTAATATGGAATTACTTACTACCACAGTACCCAAGTTTTACACACATAATAATATACTTATGGTTTCTGTACGAAGACTTATCAAAACAAGAACCAATCGCCCAACAAATATGCAGGAGAAAGTGGAGATGGATTGGACACTCGCTGAGGAGGCCACTGGGTGACATCGCGCGTCATGCCAACGCTCGAGTGGAACTCGAAATGGAAGCGGCGAGTGGGACGTCAGTGCAAGGGTGACATGGAGGAGATAGTGTGAAGAGGAGTTGAAACAGTATGGATTAACATGGATGCAGGTGAAAAGTACAGCAGAAGACAGAAGCAAGTGGAGACGTGCAGTTGAAGGCCTATGTTCCACTAGGAACCCAAGGGATTAATAATAATAATAAAGATGTTGTCGTATGAAAACGTCAATGCTGAAATTATTTTTGCTGAAACTTCTTCTCACAACATGTTTATATCGATTTTTGGTGTAACCAAATGCGATTTTATTATGCATTTAAATGCAATTCGTGCTATTCCAACTACTCAGTTAGAGTACGTTTCCTCTGTCAATGGATTCTGAGACTGTTTGGAATATCATTGCGTCAAGATACTACTGTTTACATAATGCGCAATGATTCAAAGTGAAATGAAACTCTGAACCTCAGAACGAATCAGACAAGCAGCCCGGTGTTTCGCTAGATGTATTCTAACCAGGACATCACTTCATATTAGATAAGTTTGTATGAAATATCACATGATGATAAGTTCTCACCAAATTGGTATTGTTTCAGTGATTGATGCCTAAATATATACTTAACTAGATTATTTTTAAAAGCTGTTTTGTAATGAGCCGTCATCACGCGGAGAATTTTTGAAAGTAAAAAGTATTGAACAGGTGTTTATTATTAATCTGAGATGATTTACTGTAGACGCACCTACATACGTCAACTACAGATATAATCCTAGACCTTCAATATACAACAGAAGCGCACGCACGCATCATTCACTCACCGGACTGAAATCATATGATGCCTAAATTCTAACTTCTGGTAATATGCATAAAAAATTGCCACTATTTAACAAATTTATCTGTCTAATTCTTGTTCATCATACCAGAGTTTATGAGTCAAGTGATCTACAGCAGGATAACTCAGCGAAGCCTTTTAATTAGAAACAAGTGTAAGACATAGCTGCGTACTATCAATTATGATACTCTTAATCATGGCTGATTGCATAAGATACGCAAGATTGTGGCTAGCAAGACGACAGAAATACTCTGGACGACCGATAAGGAGACTCCAGAAGATCTGGACTTCACACGTGGTTGATTTATGTCAAATGTCACATAAACTCGAAGACTTACAGGCAGGCGATAACCTAAAAATTGGCAGAAGAAGTAGGCAGAGGAGAAAGAAAATTCAAGTAAAATCACCATGAAGAACAAATTTAGGATGTTAATGTCAATATCAATGTTAAGTCAGTTAGTCAGTTCTTTTATAGGGGTCAGAAACTTGGCGCGCGCATTACAAGAAACTCTGGAAACGAACCAATCAAGAAACTGCTGCCCAGTAAATATGTTAGAGAAGATGAAGATGCATAGAATAACGATGAGGAAACCGCCAAGTCAAATCGTGTGGCAGACCATCACTCAAGTGAAACTGTAGTGGGAAACAACGAACTGGGTGTGTGAGGATTGCATAGAGAAGAGATCGTGCGAGGAGAAGATGATATCCTAGAGGCAATCGTCGGCTTATCCAAAGATGACAAAATAGAGAAGCCCAAGCAAAATACTAAGCTGCATCATCCTAGAGAGAATCAAACAAGCCCTAGATGAAAAACTTAGACCGGAACAGGCTGGATTCAGGAGAAACAAGTCATGTATTGATCAAATGGCAACATTACGGATCTTCATTGAACAAAGCTTGGAATGGCAGTCACCTCTCTATCTCAATTTCATCGACTTTGAAAAGGCCTTCAACAGCATCGATCAAGAGGTGATTTGGAAACTACTTCGCTACTACGGGGTGCCACCGACAATTATATATCTCATCCGACAGCTGTACGACAATGCTGCATGCCAAGTAATCCACAACGGGAAACTTACGGAATTCTTCGAAGTGAGGACAGGAGTAAGACAAGCTGGCTGCCTATTATCGCCAATGATTTTCCTGATTGCAGTAGATTGGATAATCCGACAGATAGACAGCGGGCAATGAGGAAACAGGCATAAAATGGACTCACACAAAAAAATTGGAGGATCTGGACTTCGCCGATGATATATGTCTGATTTACCACAAACTGGAAGGTATGCAAGCGAAGGGCAACAAGTTGACAGAAGAAGCATCCAGAGAAAATAGGACTTCAGGTGAACAGAGAGAAGACGGAGATAATGAAGATTCCTGGACAACAACAACAACAGACAACAATCAGCATAAATGGGAGGAACCTGAAAGAAACAACCTCCTTCACCAACCGACCTGGGAAGCATCGTTTCAACTACAGGCGGACGGAACTGACGAGGATATCAAAGCAGCGAGGATCGGAAAAGCAAGACAAGCTTTCATTTCTCTCAAGTCTGTGTGGAGGTAAACAGTACTCATCATCAAAAATAAGATCCGGATTTTCAACTCCAATGTGAAGTCAGTGCTACTTACTATACGGATCAGAGACTTGGCCAGCGCGTCATAAAGAGCATCTCAAACAAACTACAGACCTTCATTACCAGTTGTCTTCGCTCAATACTACTCAAGATCAGATGGCCGGTCAGAAAATATCAGCAACAGGGAGGGATCTCTGGCAATGAGCGAACCAACTCAGGAGGAACCGATTGTGCAACAAATAGGCAGGTGGAAATGGAGATGGATTGGCCATACTCTGAGGAAACAAATCATCAAGTGACATCACACTAGACAAGCCATTGCTCGAGTGGAACCCGAAAGGGAAGCGGCGAGTTGGTCGTCAGTGCAAGGGTGACTTGGAGGGGGTCATGTGAAGAGGAGATGAAAACATGTGGGCAGATTTGGAACCAGGTGAAAACTCTAGCAGAGGACCTAACGCAATGGAGACGTGTGTGGCTGAAGCCCTATGTTCCTCAAGGAATTAAAGGAAACAATAATAAGAATAATTTTCCACTTGGAGCGCAGGTGAATAATAATAATTAATTATTATTTTTATTATCTGAAACTCGAAATTAACTTACATTATTATTCATGTCATTTTTTAATTTTTAAATATTCAAGTAAAACGTACAATTATATTGGATAAACTGCTGACAGAATCTTTTAAACTATTGTTGATATTATTCAGTGACCCTGTGGTAGCAATTGCATAAGAAGAACTAAAAGCCAGCAGTTTATTAACGCTTCTGAACCCGTTCACGATGACTTTATGTGTTGAAGGCTCAGCTTTGATCAACAGCGTCATTGCTCGGCACCTAACCGATACAGGACACCAGATTAACATCTCAGAATCACTTAAGGTGATGCATACCCATACATAGCTGTCGCTATCAAAATAACCGGAATTACGTATTCAAAAGACACCGTTGCTAAATTATCATCACTACCTCGGTAACTACTGTCTGCTTCATTTTTTCTGAGGCAACGTTGTACTTTTCATTCATATATTTCTTATCATTATACTTCTTAATAATAATCCTTTTCTTTTTCATTTGAGTAACTCTTCATATGATTATATAACAAATTTCATTTGTTTTTACGAGTTTGACCACAGGTTGATATCAGTTAGACAACCATTGAAAACCAGCCACAGGGAGTTCTGCCGGACATCTGTTTCTTCAGCCTAGTTCGGGAATCATCGGCAGTGTGCGTCCACTGCCAGGGGTTGAACCCAGGACCTTCCGGTTACAAGGCAAGAAAGCTCCTACACCATTCAGCCACTGAGACTCGACCTAATTCAGTGGCCAGCCCATGAATTCTCACTTCTACCAATGTGTGATCTTAGCGCCATTAACAACCAATGTCATCGGTTGGAAATCCATCCTCACACTTGACTGGATGGATCTCACTGGTCACCGATTCTCACTAAATGAGGAATTGGTAGAAGTTAGAACTCGTGGGCTGGTCATTGAATTAGGACGAGTCCCAGTGGCTGAATGGTGTACGAGCTTGCTTGCCTTGTAAACGGAAGGTCCTGGGTTCGAACCCTGGCAGTGAGTGCATACTGACGATGATTCCCAAACTAGGCTGATGAAACAGTTATCCAGTACTCCCTGGTTTTCAGCCGTCCTCTAACTGATATGAACCCATTGTTAAACTCGTCAAAGCGAATCTAATCCTTACAAACCAACTTTCGAAAATTTCATTTGTGTTTCAAATCGCCTGCAAATAAAAGCCTAGAATATTTCCCTCAAACGTTATTCTCATTCAGCTTCAAAAGTTTCATTTTGTAGACAGAAATAGTCTCACAGATTTACTAACTTTTACCCCTGATCATTCTTTGTATTGGAAGCATTTATTTCTCGTTGTGAATGTAAAACAAAGCAGTAAATGATTTAGTGAATTCATCAGATTTTGGTAGAACTTTGCATCTGAATACTATTCTACATAAAGGTATATATATATATACTACTGTATCCAGTACATCCTTTATTCTCTCCAGGATGCATTGGATACAGAACTCCGCCAGACCAGAACAAGCTGACTGCATTCAGGAAAGACAGATCATGTGCTGATCAAATCGCGACTCTATGCATCGTCATCATAGAAAAAAGCATAGAATGCCAGTCAAACCAATCTCAACCACAACTTCATCGACTTCGAAAAGTCCTTCGACACACAACGTTGACCGGGAAGTAATTTGGAAACTACTTCAACACTACGGCGTACAATGCTCAAGTCTTTGTTAACCTCATTCGACAGCCGGCTGGCTATATGACAATGCCACGTGTCAAGTGATCCACTACGGAAAACTCAGCGAGGCGTTCGAAGTATATACAGGAGGAAGACAATGCCGGCTGCCTATTATCACCCCCGATGATCTTCTTAATTGTGGTGGACTGGATTATGCGTCAGACTGTTGGTGGGGGAAGGAGTCAGAAAGTATGCTGGACGACCGATAAGAAGACTCTGGAAGATCTGGATTTCGCACGTGGATGACTTTTATTTAATGTCACACAAACTCGAAGACTTGCAGGCTAAAGCCAAAAAATGGCTGGAAAGGCAGGCAGCGAAGACAGGACGCCATCCATGTGAACATAGAGAAGACGGAAGTGATGAAGATAACCAAACAACAGTAACAACAACCAGCACCAATCACCATCAACGAGGAAGATTGAACATAGGTTACCTCCTTCACTTATCTGGCTAGGAAGCATCGTTTCAACTACAGGCCAGTGGAACGGAATCGGAAAGGCAAGATACGCCTTCATCAACCTGAAACCAGTTTGGAAATCTTCTGCACTCCACCTGAGCATAAGGAACAAGATTCGCATTTTCAACACCAATGTGAAGTCGGTCAGTTCTTCTATATGGGTCAGAAACTCGGCGTGTCAAAAAAAGGATTTCAAACAGCCAGTTGCAGGTTTTCATCAACAGCTGCCCACTTCGCTGGCTGGCTGCATACTGAAGATCAAATGGCCAGCCGGCCAGAAAGAATAAGCAACACGAAAATATAGGAACAAACCGACAGGCGAGAGCCGATCGCTCAACAAATATATAGGAGAAAAAGGTGATGCATTGATCGGGCATGCATTCAGGAGGCCGCCGAATGACATTGCACGCCAGGCCAATGCTCGAGTGGAATCCAATTGGGAAGTGACGAATGAGTCGTCAGCGCAAGAGTGACATGGAGGAGATCGTTCGAGGAAGAGATGAGAGAGTTTGGTCAATCGTGGACCAAGCTGAAGAGGATGACAGAAAACAGAACAAACTGGAGATGTGTTGCTGAAGCCCTATTTTCCACTCGGAACGCAAAGGGATTAAAAAAAATACTATTGAAAATACATTGGAAGATATAAGACTGACGAGCAAATAAACTGCATTGAATTAATCATGTAAAAATGCCCAATTCCAATTCACTGGGCTTCTATTTCTTCAAGTTGACGGTGTCACAATGAGAAGCCTTTTGGGACCACCTTTTGAAGATTTATTCTTGTCAGTCCTAGAAACCGGTATTTTGAAGCAACAGCAACAACAACGACGCATCGAAGAAGATATTGTGAAATGGCCGCTCTATGTCGTGAACTGGCAGAAGTTGGAATTCATTGGGTCGGGTCCCAGTGGCTACGAGGTCTATGAGGTCGTCTTTTAACCAGAAGGTCCTGGATTCGAACCCTTGTAGTGGGTACATACTGTAGAGTCCAAGCTAGGACGAAACAGCTGTCCAGTATTCCTAGGTTTTCTAGTAGTTCTCTAAGCGATGTCAACTCATGATGAAATCCTCCAACCGATCAAAGAAAATCCTTACCAAAACTTGATAATTTTATTGTCCATGAAAGCAGATCAATAGCTGAAGATATGTTGATAAAATTCAACCCATTCCTTTTGAATCTCAAATTGACAACAAAACATGAGGAAAATAGTACTAATAAATTCCTAGACGTTTCTCTAGTGAAAAGAACTAATGGCACAATAGAAAGATCTGTATTTAGAAAGTCTTCATGGACAGTACGGTACATCAGTTTCAGGAAAGTCTTGTTCCGGTCTAGCATAAAAAGAACTTAGTCAGAACACTGTCCAATATTCAATAATCTGGGAAAGACCAGTCACCAGTCCTGGACACTTCAAACTGCGTACATCACTTTGAGTGTGTTTGTGGAAGTAAATACATAGGTCATACAGAAAGGCGATTGTCTACTCGCATGATGGAGCATTCGCCAAAGTGGTTGAAAACAGCTGAAATCAAAGTGCCAAAATGTTGAATAACAAAGCATCCTATGGACTACGGACATGATACTGACGCTGTTAAGTCGTTCGCTGTTGTCAGCAGACAAACAAACAGGAAGATGCTGGTAAATATGGAGGCTTGTGCAATTAGACATGCGTAGGTGGCACAGCGGTAGAATTCTCGCCAATCACGCATGTGGTTCGGGGTTCAATCCCTGGCCAACGATGCACTCCTAAACCTCGCTAAGCCAGTAGTAAGACTGGTAAAGAGGGAAGGTTGAGCATGAGGCTAGCAACCCTATCCTGTGTAAAATAATCACCACCACTACAGAAACTTCAAGCTGGTTCTAGCTTGAACGCCCTATGTTCCACTGGGAACGTGAAGGAATAAAATAAATGCAATTTGATTAAACTTTAATTTAGTACAGTATAATTAACAAAAAATATAATAATACCTTTATGAAGAAGCTTACCTGTATCAGCTAGTAGTTTGTCAAATGATTGTTCCCATTGATGAAGTTGACTTCTTGTTGGTATATGTTCGTTCACCACAAGGTTCTCTTGACAACCTTCTACTTCACGAGTATCAAATTTAAAGGAATCATTGCACTTATTATTGTTATTATTATTACTATTGGTAGTATTATCAGTATCAGTTGTTGGTGAGGCACTTTTTGACTTTCCAACTGGTCGTTTAAATGCATTGGAAAATGATTTCGACAAGAAGTTAGCTAATAAATCATTCAGATGACGGACACTTTTTGATTTAGAAAAAACGAAAAGGTAGAATAAAGAAAACGAAAAAGAAGATGTGAAATTAAAAGTTGACGGTGATTGAGAAAATTAGTGATTTTAGTCAATTTTTAGACATTTATCTAATAATAATAATAATAATCTACTTTATTCTAAAACAGACAGTACTTATAATACAGAATGGAATTCTCTGTATTTGTCACAATATTGCATCTGATTTACTGAATACATAAATAAAATTGAAAGTTAAAACAAAATTAACCAGAGGAATTTGTCCACATTTACGATACTTTGTCAAATATGCTGATGATCTGACTGTATCACTGCCTATCAATTCCGAGTCTGACTTCTCCAAACTTAATAGCTTTCTGTTGGACATCCGCAAGTGGTCTTGTGTTAAATCCTTCCAAATGCCAGGCAGTTAACTTTACTTTCAAGCATCGACGTGACAAACATGAACTAGTTAGTTCCCATGATGCCTGTAGCATAGATGGCACTTAAACTGAAACCAAGTGAAGCAATAAAAACCTTTCCTCTGACCTTTCATGGTGATCCCACATCTTGTCAATCTTTAAGAAAATGTTTCGTCTTACCTTCTACATTACAAAGTTAAGACAATCAGGTATCAACCAACCTTTAGTTCTGCAATTTTTAAACTCCTGTATTTTACCCATTTTACTTTATTGTTCTCCATTAATCTTTCCTGGGCTTCTTAAAAAAGACTATGCCGTATTACGAAGGGTATTAAATGCTGTGAGTAGGGCTTGTGGTTTGCCACTGCGTGAGCTCGCCAATACTATTGCCGAGAGACACATAAATCCCTGTACAAAGTGGGCAAAGGCCGTACTGTCAGACCCTCTGCATCCCCTTGATTCACAACTATCCCCTTGTATCTCATCAGGTAGAACGAGAAGTCAGTATAAAAAGCTATATGCTCGAACCACTAAGTACAAAAATTTTACAATACCGTATTCAGCCCGTATTTTATGTGATGAAGACATTGTTAGACGTGAAACATATAAGTTACTATGTAATTAGCATAGTGAATCGACCATTTCATTGTTCATCTTTCTGTAATTTTATGGTGTCACCCTTTCTATCGTTTAATTATAACTTTGTTATTTTTATTTCAGTTGTTATTACTATTATCACTGCAGTGTTATACTTTATGAATCTTTTTCTCCGTATTGCATACAATAATTTGCTACATAGCTGCTTTAATAACGTTTTGTTATTCTTATTATGTAATGTTTATTTTTCATTTTGTTTTTTTGGTCGTTTTTGAGTAAATTAGATGCAATACTGTACTGAATGCTGAAAATTCCTTGCTGTATCATTAGTACTGTTTTTGGAATAAAGCAAATTACTATTATTATTATGAAGTTAAAAATATTCCAAGTACGAAATGAGAATATTAAATATAATAATAATAACAGTGAGTTTGTTTCAGACAGTATTGTCAATTCAGTTTGAAAATTTTAGCATGTTATTATAGATTATTGAATCTGATGTTCTGTTGATATAGTAGTATGGTAAGGGGGAATACAAAATTAACAGTTATAACACAACTTAAATGATGTTGACACTTATGAAAAAATAAACAATTAAAAACAAGAAATTGAGAGGACTATAAATATTAAAAGTATTATAACAATGAAGGTTGATGTTGTAAGGGTGGAGGAAATGGTTTTTTTAGTGGTGCTAAGATGGTTAGTTAGTTCATGTCTGACACTATTTTCATCACATAAAGTACTTGCCGCCAAATATGGTATAGTGGAATTTTCAGTACTTAGACGTACGTGCAAAAAGTCTTCTGAAAAGACTTCTTGTTTTACCTGAGGAGACACAAGGTTGGAGGTGCGGGTGGAGCGGTGGATGCTCACTGTCTGAAAAAATTCCTTTAGCGAATTTGTTGCATGACGTCAAGTGCCTATCAGTGACAATGTCAACGACATGGCCCAGTGTGATGCCACTCGTCCTACTGAAAGTCTTTAGAGTTCTACGAAGTATGACATAGTCTCTTTTCAAGCAAACCAGGAAAGAACTAGGGTGAAGAGTAAGGAGGAATAGGTAAGACGCACGAGTTGGCAAACTTTAAGAGGAGGAGTGGTTGGGTAATGCCTGTTCGCATTAACTTCTTAATGTAAAAAGTCAGACGAAATATTCTTTTAGAAATCGCTAAGACATAGGAAGACCAGGATAGGTCAGAAGAAAGAATTATTCCAAGATACGTAATATCAGACTTGGTTTCTATATCAATATCATCAATTTCGCAACAGTCATAGGAACCAGCAGCTTCATTTAACTTGTTTACATTGGAAAATGAAAATAACAGCCTGACATTTGGGAGGATTTAGTTTAAGGCCATTAGAGACCATTTACCGACTCTTGATAGAAAGCTGTTCATCTTAGTACAGTCTAACTGGAAGTTAACACACATTGAAATAGTTAGATTGTCTGCATACTTGACAAAGTTCATTTCATCAGAGGGAGGCAAGTCATGCAAGAAGAAAGAAAAGAGAAAAGGAGAAAGGACAGCGCCTTGAGGGACACCAGCCTCAGTAATCAATGAAGTGGACGACTTCCTCCTGACTGACATACAGTGTACTGCTTTCTTCCTGAGAAATAAGAATGCAGCCATTTGACAACCCAGCAGTCAGTTTGAGTTTCAGCAAGCTTGTTTAACAAAATGTCCCTAGGTACTGAGTTGGAAGCAGATGTGTAATCTAGAAAAGTGTAGCGAACAAATTTAGCCCTTTTGTCTAAACTGAAGACAATGTCATTATGCAAGACTGCAGCTGCATCTAATGTTCTCTTATTACTTTTATAGATGAATTGTTTGGGATCGTTAAAGGCTTTAAGTGAGCATTCAAGATTAATAATACGTCTGTGGACAGTCTTTTATGCTTAAAGTTATGAAATACGGTGATTTCTGAGATTTCCTTCTCATATGGTAGGGCGATTTTCGTTGTGCTACCCTTGGGGGCATTTGATTTGATAGGTTGGCGGCTTGGGGTATATGTGTTTTGTAAAAAAAGTCCGTGGATATCCATTCTTTTCGGAGACGTCTATGGGATATCCTTCTTCAGTTTTCCTTAAGGTCGCAGTGCTGCAATGTGTCCTGGCTGGCCCTCTTGAATAGTGTTTGTATACAACTGCTTTTGTGTGTTATTGGATTGTTGCTGTTGTAATTCAGTATTTGGTTTGTGTTAGTTGAGTTTCTATTTCCCCTGTGGTTGTTTGCTTGACTAAGACGTCGATAAATGGCATTTTGTTCTCGGATTCCCCTTCTCTTGTGGATTTGATGTCGTTGAATATGTTGTTTATTAAGTTGTGAGTTTGACCCAACTTGTTTCTTTTGATTATTACAATCTTGGTTCATCGAGTCTACACCTAACACATGTGCAATAGAAGTGACTCAATGCAAATACCAGAGATATGGAAGATATTATTACCACCAGTCAGTCAAATCAGAGGAGGAAATTAAATAATTTAAAAATTTTATTTCAATTCACATACATTATAACATAATAACAAGTTACTTATCTGTTTGTACTAGAAAAACACTCGTCTTATTTCTCATATGATTGTATGTGATTGATAACACTCATATTATTATATCTGAATGTACATTATGTTCTATTGAATTGTATTCAAATGCCTAATCATCCATTTCACTCATGTATATAAATAAAGGAAGAAAGTTGTGTGAGTGAGTGACTTGATATGAATATGAGCAGTTATAATTTGTGCTCAAAACGTGGTCGTCAGTTAATATTACTGCATAACACTATACTGTGTGACTTTATCAAAATAAAATCTCATCCATTATGGAGTTATACTCTAGCAACACATTGCCCAAGTTTTATACTAATATCTACGTGGTCGTTCATATTAATATGACAGACAGCTAAGCTCTACTCATGTGATAATTCCAATGAAGTGACCATCTGGTCAACAGCTGGAAACTTCAGCTAAGCTGATTATTCATCAAAGTATGAAATTTGTAAGCTGCGTGAACCATATTATTATTAATATTGTTCCCTTGGGTTCCTATTGGAAAATAGAGCTTAAAATACACGTCTCCACTTGCCTCTGTCTTCTGCTGTACTTTCCACCTGCATCCATGTCACTCCATACTGTTTCAATTCCTCTTCACACGATCTCCTCCATGTCACCCTAGCACTGACGTCCCACTCGCCAATTCACTTTCAGGTTCCATTCGAGCGTTGGCCTTACACGTGATATCACCCAACGGCCTCCTCGGGGAGAGTCCAATCCATCTCCACTTTCTCCTGCATATTTGTTGAGCCATTGGTTCTTGTTTTGTTTGTTCCCATAGTTTCTTGTTAGTGATTCTTTCCGGCGGCCATCTGATCTTCAGTATAGAGCCAGCGAAGACAGTTGTTGATAAAGGTCTGCAGCAGGCTGTTGGAAATAAATATTCTTTGTGACACACTAGGCAAGTTTCTGATCCGTATAGAAAAACTGACTGACTTGACGTTTGTATTGAAAATCCGAATTTTGTTGTTGATGCAGGCTGAGTGACGAAGATTTCGAGATTGGTTTCAGGTTGATGAATGTGTTTCTCGCCTTCCCTTTTCGATTCTCGATTTGACACCCTCGTCAGTTCCTCCCGTAGTTGAGATAATTCTCCTTAGATAAGTGAATAAAGTAACCTCTTTCATCAAATCCCTCCCGTTGATGGTGATTGGCACTGGATGTTGCTGCTGTTGTTGTCGTTGTTGTTGGTGTTTGGTTATTTTCATAACCTCCGTCTTGTCTATGTTTACCTGGAGTCCTGTTTTCACTGCCTGCTTCTTCGACCAGTTTGTCGGTTTTTGCTTGTAAGTCTTCGATTTTGTGTGACATCAAACATAAATCATCCACGTGCGAAATCCAGGTCTTCTAGGTTCTTCACGTCGGTGGTCCAGGACAGGATATCCCTGTCTTCTCGTATCCGTGCACTGTCTGACGCATAATCCAGTCGACCACTATTAGGAA